GATCCAAAGGGAGGAGGACAGGAAGCAGAAGTTGGACATGCACGTTCAGAAGGTAACAGATCAGCTGCATGACATTCGTAGCATCCTCCATTCCTTCTGTGGCAAGCTGCAGGTCAGTACATATAACATTAAAATTATGATGAAACTTCAAGGTAGGCTAATTCTGCTGTAGGATTTGAGGTTTTTGTAGTGTCATGAACATAGATTGTGGTCTTCTGGGTTGTTGTGCTGTGTAGTATTTTGTCTGTATGCCAGTGTTTCAGACACCTGTATCTCAATGACAAAATGTCCCAGAGGATTCCTTCCTTTCTAAGCAAAATATTGTTCCCTGTGCTTGTTACATGTTCTGATCTTTTCATCCTTCTCTCTTTAATAACCCCAACAGAGTACACATTTTGAATGTTATCTTGTAAATTTCTCCCATCATTTATTGTAGTAAGCTGCCTTCTACTAGCAGTAAGAAGACTACAACAGTGGTGCAACTTGAACATGGTGGCGAGTCAAAATGTTCAGCACCAGTTTTAAACATGACAAGCACAGGAAACTGTTCCCTAAAATCATAGGGGAAAATACAGCTTTACGGTCATTCCCGAGTTTGGGATGCTAATACAGCATCTGACACTGTATTCAGCAATCTCATCTCATCACAGCTTCAACAACATATCTGATCTGTGAAGAGAAAATAGTGATTTTAATTCCTAGATGCAGTTACCTGATATTCTTATGATGCTCCCCGATTTGCTAGTTGTTCCAGGCAAAACACTAGGAGAGTACCTTCTATGCTATATAATCTTAGCAGTTGATACAATATTGCTAAATAACCTTATCCTTCAGGGTGCCAGTGGTATTGTACTGACTCCAGAGTCTGAGGATATCTTTGAAACAGTTGAGAGCCAAATAAGGAGTGTGGTGGACCGTGTTGGACAAGGGGACGAGTTTGACAAGAGAGTGCGACAAGCGCAGGAGGACAAGGTATGTTCCGAGCTCATGTCACATATTTCTTATATCATGATATGTAACCAATGTGGTTGATAAAGTATATGAAGCATCATAGACGATATTCACATCTTGGTAACTGATATAGATCAATGGTACTGCGTTACTTACATCACGTTACATATCTGTGAAACGGATGCAGGAGTAGATTCAGAAGTAATGATTTTCCCAAAAAAGAAAATAGTGATGTGCAGACAGAATTAATTAATTTTCTATTTATCTAACTGCACTGCCTAGCAGTGGTATTGGGACAGTCAAACAGAAAATTCTGAACACCATATGGAGACAGATGCACTTCACACCAATGGCAAATGCTTTAAACTTTATTGACTGTGCAGTGTCTTATGCGCAGTCCAGCTGGCTGTGTGACAACAGCATACTACTGAACTGTTAACCCCAGATTTAAAACAGCCCTTTGGTATGGAGGTTTAAATTCTGTTCTTTTACAACAAAGGTCAAGTGCTTGTTTCTGACATACTGAATTAAATCTTTCATGAAAGTCATTGGGCTAAGCCAGGTAACAGTGATAGGTACTGTTGTGTTTATAGTTTGAGGAGCTGACAATTCCAGTGAACGTTCCACCCGAGTTTGCAGACTCAAAACCACTTACTGCATTAGTTGCCTCAGAGACAGAAGATGAAGAAGAGGTGCCCACTAGAGGCTTCTTGAAAAGGCAGGCCCAAATCATTGTGGATGCCAAGTCTCGGCATAAACAATTTCCCATGGCTACCAGGGGCAAGAAGACACTAACTCTTAAGTGAACTGAGTAAGCTTTATATACATTTATATCAGCTACATCAGTAGTTTCCAACCTGAGGTTCCAGGGGGCCTGTGAGATAGTATTGGGGATAGCAACACGTCAGATAAGACGATGTATCTGTAATGTCAGTTATACAGCTTACTTTTCATTCTACGCATTATTCTAATCAAGAAGATAGTGAACAGTATACAGAATATGAAAGGGAGATTGTGACAAAACTTCCACAGGTCCAAAAGTAATTATGGAAGGACAGAGACTGTTTCAGGAGAGCTATCAAAATGAAGTCCAATAAAAGCTTCTGTGCAGACAGAAGCAATACCAAATCACTAATGACCAGTAGCAGAAGGAACAGCAGGAGAGGTCAAATAAGACTTGTGGTGATTACTTTGAAACAGACATTCTACTCTCACAAAATAGAACTGTAGCAAAGCTTGACACATTTTTCCATGTTTATTTTCATCGGAACCTCTTTGCTCTGTACTGACTAGTACAATATTATTACAAAAATTGGCAGTGATACATCTGGTCTAAAAATGCAATGGAATGATATCTTGCAGTTCTTACGTATATCCACATGCAGTTCTAAAAAGTTCTTTCTGAGCATGTCTGGTTCCTGCAGCAACCATTTATGTACAATTTATAATGTGAGAAATTCCATGTGGCATTTTAAATGCATTGTCATTCCCCACACCCATACACACAAACACACTCACTAACACACACACACATATACAATTCAGAAAACAAAAAACAATTTTTGAAAGTATTTCATATCTCACACTTCCCTGTGAAAACAAAAATGCTATTTTTCAAACAAAGTGCCATGAACATCATGAAGAGCTTCATTTTCAGTCTTATTTTATAAGTTATTTCTGTAATACCAACATCTGTTGAAGAAGGCATACCATACTATAACTTCACCTCAAAAACACATCTCACGTCCTGTACCAGAAACTTGACACAACTGGGAGAAAGTGACCATGAAGAAAATAACATAATCCATCTTCAGTTCATAATATGCTAGGCACAATACCACCAGCCACTCACCACCTTATAAAACTTAATATGCTGGACTGTTAATAAGAGCCATACTGTACAAGTTACAACTGAAATGTACAGACACACACACACACACATACATACACATGACCACCCACCACACAGTAACAAATAAATATGTACATTTATGAAGTTTATGCCACATCAACCAGGTGTGCCAGGTTTTCTTACCACTGCCATGGCAGTACCTTGTTCTTGGATCTTGCTTGCCACACGCTGGTTGCAGGGGCAATCTGACAATGGATTGTTAAAATCCCTACTTATAGGTTGAGAACCAACAAGTTGCATCAGGCATGACCTGATACAGCATCATTAAAGAACCCATATGACAGCAAGCCAGCAACCCCAGTGCTCTGCAACAATCAGCACACTCACCAACTAGATCCTGTTCTTCAATTAAAAATGTATCATCATGATTTAGCATGAACCATTACACACCTGCATTCATTCACAATATGTCACGTGAGAATGGTCTGAGAGTCTAGGCAACATCACACTGAAACATGGCCTTCCCCCCGCCTGTTGACACTATTGTTACTTAAAGTGAAACTGGTAACAGAAATCTACATAAACAAATGCAGACAGAATGCCCTCAGACCTCCTCCCAATATAATACACATCAATAAAAATGGCTGCAGACTGGGGCAGTGATATTTTAGCATTGGCAGTAATATAATATATGTACAATACTTCACAAACGTTCAGGACTGGGAATTTCCTGCTCATTAAGAAAATGACTGGATGCAGTATACAGTGATGGCAGTATCAATCTCTACTTGTTACAATGAAATAAATAACAGACAGGAAGAACCAACATAAGACAACATACTGGCACATGAAAGAGTACTGCACTGCCACACAGCAGCATCCAATCGATGACAGACTGCATTTAAGTCAGAGGCCACTTTACCACACTTCCTATAAAACAATTAAAAAATATGAATGTTATAGGACACACCTCCCCCCCCCAACCACAATTCATGCATCTGACTGGGTCAACAAACAACATGAGGGGGGGGCGCAGAATTCCCAGTCCCAACAAGCAATGAATCAGTCAGGTGGGGAAAACAGAAGTCACTGTTTTAGGAAGAGTGCCTATAATGGGGTTCATTGGAAGATGTAGCCATGGCACGAACGGTTGTAGAGTGCAGTCTTGTAGCTTCTCCATCTACCAGGTAACTATGAACCAATTTCTTTGCGGCTATGATGATCAGATTGGTGCTCCAATGAACAAATACTCATATGTTTATTGTTACGTGGGTGGGCCTTCCCACTCAATCAGATATTGGACTTTTCCTGATGGAGTTGTTCTCTTTGCCCGAAAACTAAATTTTTCACCTGCAGCAATTCGATTCGCTGCACCAAAGTAAATGTTCACTGATGATTTAAGATCATCAAGAGAGATCTCTACTGGATTCTGCTTGACTGGCGAGGATTTTGCTGATGAGGGCTGAGATACCATCTTCCTATCATTTGCCTTGATGCTGTCCTGCCTCTGGGTAGCACGAAGACGCCGACCATTCAGAACATAGTCAACGCAGCTGCCCACCTGGCCCCTACTCGTACTTGCACTACTTGATGGACCACTGTTATACATGCTACGCAAAGAACGAACAGATGTTCTGGCACCTGACCACACATCTCCTGGCTTCTCGGGGCGGCCAGGGATAAATGTAGCACTTTTACTGGCTGTCCCAGCATTCGTTGTACCATTTGCTGAACTGGCCCTATTGCGTCGATGTCTTCTCCGTTTGACTTCCCCATTACGGTCAATCCGGATGTCCTTCTCACTTAGCTGCCGCTTGGCAGGTCGGGGTGGAATTGGGTGTGTTAGAACAGGAGTCAAGGGTAATGGAAGAGTAATTGGGCTTGTATTTAGAATACTGGGTGCTGGAGCAGTATTAAACAAGCTGGCAGTCACATTCAACCCATTGGGTGCAGACAAGAGTTCAGTTAAATTACGAAATGGATTGTTCTTACCTTCAAAATCCTTGGGAGGAGGAATGAATGAATCAAGAGTGCCACGAGATGAGGTTTCATCCCCACTTGTGTCACCGGGAGTAGTGGGAGGAGGGAAAGAAGCAGAACTGGATGAAGGGAGAGCTGGCGTAGCAGACCGCCCAGGTTCTGGAACAACTGGAGCAGTAACACTTGGCACTACTGGCTGTGGCGTGTCGGGCGCAGATGAGGACGGAGGTGTTGGTGGCAGATCTTGGATACTCTTCTGGCTCTGGAATGTAATCAGCACATATATTTTGAGGTTACTGTCAACTGATAAAGTAAGAAGCATTGTACATTAGTCATCATGAATTGCACAGCGGTCCTTGGGGAAAATACAAACAAAAATCCTTCCATACTATTACTGTATAGAAGTGGAGGATGGACCTGAAGGTAAAAAAATACCTCCTCTTTAAGGAACCTGGGGTTCAATTACTGGGTCCACAAAAGCCCACCAACAGTCTATGAAAAGTAAATTAATGCAGTATACACCCTCCAATAAATTTAAATATTATAATCCCATATCCCACTCAGGTTTCTTAAGTGGTAACTTTTACAGGTTGTACAACTAAATTCTGATACACATTTCTTTTGCCACATATGTGCTACGTGCTAACCCATGTCATCCTTCTTGGTTTTACCACTCTAATAATACATGGTGAAGAGAACAAATTATGAAGCTCTTCATTCTCCTGCCTCTTGTTACTTCCTCTTTGTTAGATCCAAATATTCTACTTTAGCAACCTCTTTTCAAATACCCTCAATCTACGTTAGAGTAAGAGACCAGGTTTCATTTCTTCAAAATGCTGGTATCTATTTACAAGTCCACAAGATGTTACAACCCAGAAGACCAACACTGTCAGCTTCACCACTGTGAGAACCCTGAATCTCACAAATAAATTAGAGCCTTGAAATATTGTACAAGAACAAAGTTTTTGTACATGGAGTAAAAAATATTAATATCTGAACACTGATACTGTATGTACTTGATATATAACACTGCCAATTGTTCAATGAATTACAAAGTCTGCCTTCCTACATGTGCATGGATAAAGCCACAGAAACATCACAACTGACAAATGTTGTGAACTTTAAAACAGATGAATGAATGAGCTGCTTACTATCATATTATCAACATGGCAGACACTGACTACAGATCAGAATATAAAATAGTCCCATGTTTAGTGTAACATTTTTTTGTGGTCACCCAGTGTATAAGCAGCATACTTACAATATTACTGATCTGGTAACAGTAACTGCAAAGTGATGGTAAGCACAAGACTAAAAGTGGTACTTTAGCAAAGGAGTAAGAGGCAACTTCCAAAATCAGGAGTGGAAGAACATTCTTTTTCAAAGTGTATACATCAAACTTCTGGCATACTTACAGTTGCTATTGCATTTTTGAGCAGTTTCCGAGCCTTGCGAACAGTGAATTCCTTGACTTGGCCTTCTGCCTGTTGATGCTTGTATCTCCTCCGTTTCAGCAAAGACTCCTTGTGGGATGAATTATTGACTATGGATTTGAGCCTACGCCGTAGCAGCGCTTGCTGCATGCTTAGTCGATTGGCTGGGGGATATGCGGTTGACTTCTTTGCAAAACCACTACTGCAGTATTCTGAGCTCTTGATGCACACCTGGTCACAGGGAATAGTATTAAAAATGACCTACTTTTATCTGACTACACGAGAAAACAATCTCTATCACAAGGTAGCAGACACTATTCTTCACCAATTGGAACATGACAGCATACTCAATGACATTTATAAAATAATGACAATATTTCCTATGCATCATTTTGTGCTCCTCTCTTTCTCAACTATGAAATTAAAGAATTTCCTTAACATTCTGTGCCTCAAGGTAAGAATAAAAGTTTCTAAGTATATGCAAAGCATTTCAATTCTGACTTGTTCATTATGTTATGAATGCTAAATTTTGTCACTTTCTTATAAACAGAACAGGTGAGGCAGACAAGGACATCAAAAATTTGATCAAAATCAGTACAATGGTTTTGAAGTCATGATGTAACTATAAGACATATGGAAGAAGTATAATGGGTAAAAATTTTGTTTTTAGTTTTTTCTTACAACTTTCTCTAATAAATATTTAGTGAGTTACAACCAAAATGTGTGGAGATGCACATGAAGGTTTCCATATAAAGTGTCTGATTTTAACTGAAACTGAAATGTGTCAACAAATTTAATAAAACTCCCCAATACCAAGAGTCATAAATTTCCATCCAGCGGTTCTAGAGATGTTTCATGCAGACATATGAGTGGACAGACACTAGAGCAAAGAGACAGTTTTGTGACTCTTCTCATGGTTTCAAATATGCTAAAATCATTGAAAAATGCACTGCATAAATTCTAATATATCTGTACTATGTGTGCAAAGATGGAAGGCGTGAACAATAAATGGGATGGTACTTCAGATGTATTCAAAGTACATGGACCACCAGACTTAAAGAAAACAAAACTGCTAAGAAGCATGACTGTGAATCAAGCTTTGAGAATGGAATTCCCAGTTTGTGTGCTGAGCAAATAGGGGCCAATGGACAACTTCACACTTAGTAGTATATACTTTGCCGATAAATCACCGTCAGCTTGTATCATATTTAACAAACAAGCCTCCTCTTACATCTACTGAAGCCTCATGTCTTCAGGCTAATGACAAACTGCTGTCTTGACTTCACGAGGTACAACTCCTGTAGTGACTTTCTCACCTGTTCACGTAGTTCCACTTCATCACAAAATATTCAAAAAAACACTAACCATACATAAATTCTGTTTCAAAACTGGTGACATTATTTTATAACGGCCTCCAAAAAATACAGTATATAAAATCATAAACGTTGGCTAAATATTATATTTAATAATTATACTATTGTACATGACCCATCTTGAATAGAACTCAATCATGTTCATAACCTATAACACTGTAAAAAAATTACAACCTTAACTTTCTTAAAGCAATGGGAGGTGAAAGCAAGCAGGCAGGAATAGCTCGGCACAGAAAAGTATCAGTTTAATGACAAACTGGACACACTATTATTTAGACAAAAAATAAAAGTGTATATATTCATTCAACCAAGAGGGAGAGGAAAAATACAAACAAGGCCATAATTCAAGCCAAATACCAGAAAATGTAGACAGCTTTCTACAACACCTCTAAACAGCCAGTCATTTTCATTATGACAACAGTGTACCTTGTCCCCAGTGATGGGAATGATGTCAGGCCGATTATTGACATGCAACAGCTTAAGTCCTGCTGGAGGACCTGACAACCCATTGCTGTGGTTGTAGCTTCCCATCGTTTGGCCCACAGAGGAGGACACGCTAGGAACCATGGCACTTTTCATGACACTTGTGTGACCATTCAACACACCATCGGTGCAGAAAGTTTTACCAAGATGGCACTTGCCTGACACAAGTGAACTAAAAGAGAAGAAAGCACAAAAGCCCAAAATGTATCAAGAAGTTTTGTTCACACTGCAAATTTTCTGTATGACGAGATGACATCTGTCTTAACTGTCCCTGATCAGTTTTTCTACCACAGAAACAATACTCTCAGCACCAACTTCTTAATTGTAACACCACTCCTTGGTTCTATCAGCCTAGTTCTTTCCACATATTTAATTTTATACAAACAAGGCAAACATGCACAGTTTACAAAAGTTTGAAAATTTCAATATGGAACTTTTAACAATGTATTACAAAGACATTATTTTGTATGTTGTAAATATTTGCATCATTCATTCTTCATTTTGCACTGCAAAATACCTTTCTGAAGGCAAAGATACAGACGACATGGCAAACCATGCTTTGCTTCTTTATACAGAGCACAATATATACAAATATACTGCATATAACTTAGCCAGGACCCAACAGATGCATTTCAGCATTATAACAAGCAATGTTCATAGCCTTCTCAACCATCTCTATACAATTACACAAATAACATTAGAAATTCCATACAATGTTGACAATTCTATTACCTCCCATCTCCTGTACAAGTTTTCAAGCCACAGATACATCTTAATTCTTTTAAAGCTGAAATGATAATAATACACGCACCTGAGAGAAGGTGGTAGGAACTTTAGTCGCTTATTCCCAAACCACAACTCCTTGAGCAACGCGTCACTCACTGGGCGGACAAAGGGCAAGGAGAAGGGGGGAGCATTAGGAGGCACTCGTGCGCGCAAGCCCCATATTGTTGTGCGCTTCTTTATCTCCTTGCCACACTTGAACCTGCAACATAAGACTGCATGTTAGGACATAGATGGAGGTTATTTGGTAATGATGAGGATAAGCAGAAGAAACTAATGATGGCATGATGGGAAAATCTATGATGCCGTACAAAGCATGGTTTCTTGAATGACAACCTACATTATAAATAACCTACACATGAGATGACACTGATTATTCAATGCACGTGATGAACTGGATTATGATATGGAAATACATTTAAGGCTAAAAATATCCACAAACTAAAGAAGGAAAGGAATCATAGTGTCATCTTACAGGTTTCAAAAAGCTCAGTGTGGATTCAGAGAAGTGATAACATTTCCTTCAAAACAACAAACAAACAAAGGCCACAACTCACCTACTTCTGTTGCTTTTGAGAACAGACAAGATGTTCTCCCGCCTTTCATCCAAGCTAACATCTAAGATCTGGAACAACAACATCAGCTGCTGCAATTCAACCCACAGGCATGGAAACATTTTAAAATTCTCTCAAAACAAAGTAAATATAAACGACGTGGGATCCCATAGGGACTTTACCTACCTACCTACACACATAGATATATGCACATACAAGATCACTAAGACGCTTGAGGCATCTACAACTTGACCATGGGATCTCCCAGTTAATATAAACTGGCAGGTTAGGCACATTATGGCACAAATACATTTCTTTATACAATAAGAACATAATCAAGTTGTGTGAGATAGTGATGATACAAATCATCAAATAGTAGATGCTCTGTAAACAATATAATAAGAACATGATTATTTTGTGTGAAATTATAGCAGAAGTGAGTGCACATTAATTATGAACATTGTACGTAATATAACAGAATCCTATAATATTAATCTTTTCAAAGTGTTTAGTTGAAAGAAGCACTGCTATTTTCTTTGGAAAATAAATAAATTTGAGTTTTATGTTTATACAAACTTCTGCACAAATTTCTACCAGAATAAAGTTTTATATAAAATAAACTGACAAACAGCTTATATCCTTTGGCTGTTACATGGAAATAAGAAAAATACCCATACTTCCTTCAAAATAGCGGATTTCCATGAGCACTGCCATTTTCTATGTTAATGTCATGGATTGTTCACCAAGATGAGAATGTGACTACCTGAACAGCCAAAACATACCTTTGGTGGTAGTTGGAAGGTGTGCCAATTGTTGTTAACATAAGGAATGATGACTGTGTCCAGATCGTAGTACTTCTTAGCATTGAAGATGGTCAGGTTGTATAGAGCCAGGTGCACTATGTCAACCCATTTCATTTCTAGCCGACGAACAAACTCCTTTCCATAATTACACAGCGAACATACAAACACATAAAACCTGCAAACAAACAATGTTATGTCCACATCTTTTCTGTGCTGACTAATAAAATATTAATTTAGAGTTTGCAAGAAATGCCATCAAGACCTGGTCTCTTGGCTATATTCCACCTTAAAGAATCCCCAGATTCTTATAATATATATATTCACACACACACACATACCCAAATATTTTGGAATCTGTTCTCACACCACAGCAACTAGCAGAAAGCAACATCTGGTAAATGATAAGCAACACTGTTGCTTATCGAAAACAGTACACATTTCGAAGTAAACAGTTCACACCATTGCAATAGCAATGATTACCTTTAAAATTATTGCATACTGACATATGATACACATCAAATTATATTTCTACTGCACCTCCATAAGATTCATATCACCTATCACTAATTATGTGTTTTGGTAAAGGGTGTCTGTAGTTACTTACCCAACTGTGTATAGCGCAGCACTATAAACAGTAATTATGAACTTGGAGGAACAACAAAAATGAAGTCTCTGCAAATTATACAAAAGTACGTCTCAAAATCTTTTCTATTCCTGATTACTCAAAATGGGTTGTTACTGAAAAAGCTTGGAACATACTTGCAGTATACAGTAACCATTTCACTCACTGAGATTTTCACAAATTAGCAATTTGATTTCCTAGGTATTATGATATAGCTTACGTGACATTGCATATCATCCACCACTTATTGCTGTTGCTTGTTGCTAGGTGCTTTGGTCTAAATGCTCCCTAAAATACACATGAAGCTAAGAAGCATATTGTCTATATATACCTGTCACCACAGTAGAGGGGATACTGCAAACACTTGATGCACTTCTCGTGGAACCACTGCCTGCAGCGGCCACACTGCAGCATCTGCATGTACCACTCTCCATTCTTACCACAGTAGCAGTACCGCTGCTCAGTGTTGGTGCGGTGGCTCTGGTCCCATGACAGCTCACCAGGCTATAACAGCAAGTCATTATGCAATCCCCTCCACAAGTCACATTGACTGAACCATAATTTCAACAATATTTACAACTTACATCATAAGGTAATTTGTTCTTCTCAACTTGCAAACCAGGGTGTTCTGTTCTGGGGCTGCACATCTTGCGAATGCTCTCCTTCTTGGCTACCCTGTTCTCTCTGCCCTTGCCTGGCATGTTCTCTAGGCAGCGCTTGCATACCCAGTGAGCTTCTGCTTTGGTGTTCTCTTTTGATATATGGGGCTGCAATTCAAAAACATCCACAATTCACCAATCAAACCCACCATTAAGCAAAAGGAACGCATGATTCTAATTGTTAAATTAGAAATTTCAGAAGAGAGCTGTGCTCTCTTTCAACAAGGCCTTTGCAAGGCTGCCACTACAACAAGTTCTACTAGGATTTAAAAAGCTCATACTTTGGACTAGTCTCAATTAAACGGATACTTCCTAAGGATATTAAACAGTGATACAATGTGCTGCGAATACATAAATGTGTTTAAAACAGAAATGATCTATGCTAAGCAATGTCAATCAAAACATAAACAAAAAAACTGCAACACCAATAGATCTAACATGTCATTTAACATAATTAAATGTGCCAATCCCATTATCCCATTAGATCAGTATCCTATGGCAGGCCACAGATATCCCAATCAAATGCTATACACTAACATGAAATGGTACCATCTGCCATTAAATTTCTATTATTTTAGACTATTGGAAAAGGGCTACTGGAATTCAGAAGGAATGATTTCTTTGGTACCTCCATCCCTCACCCCCTCTCCTTTAGAAATACTTCTAGATGCTGCCTAATGAAGCAGCAATTGTGGAACAGAACATTCTGCCATCCAGCATCATTGCTGAGAACTCGGCTAATCATAAACACCACACACACACACTAAGTCATAAACAGTGTAATATGCATATATTCCAGTGCTCTAAGCACTAAAAACAATCCTCATTATTTTAGGAACCACCGTCCTCAGCTTCATCCATTGTCCCAGAAACACTTACAAATACATACCTGGTGACACAACTGGTGATATCCACGACCACACTTGTCGCAGACTATGATGTCGTTGTCTGTCTTCGGCTGAGACTTCTTGCAGATAACACACAAGAGATCAGACTCTGGCAATGTGAGCTTGGTGAGATCTTTGAATGAGGACCAACTCTCTGTGTCATCTCCAAACTTAATCAAGCACTGCTCTGTGACAAGGTCCACCTGAAACACGAATACCTATACTTAAACAGCAACAAAAATTTTCGAAAGAGATACAATAAAATAAACACAACATTAAACATTTCCAATTTTAACACTTTCAATACTCTGTCCAGTTAATACATAGCTTGTTACAAAATTTAATACCAAAAACACAACAACATGAAATGGACATACACTAACACTGTTAAATTCACAAAACAAATTAAAATTATAACATTCATGCAAATATGTATCTCTATTTTACAAAATATGAAACACATTTTCTTCAGTTTTCCAGATTCGGTAAATGAATCTGAGCGAATCCATTCTGAGGTCCAGTGGAGTTTTATGTAATCATGCTTCAATGACAGCAACACAATCCCTGAACTAGTTACCCCGATCCTCCATTCATGATGAACATGATGCCCAACTAACAGCTGTTCATGTATCAACACAAGACTTGCCCTGTTCTCACCTCTACTATAGTACCGAGGTAGTACCGTCCATCCTTGTGTTGGAATAGCACGTCTTCTCCTTCACTGAACCCACTCCGGTCCTTGGTGGTGCTATCTGGTGCAGCCGGACTTTCCTCTGTTGGATCCTGCATCACCATAGAAATATTAGCTATGCCAGCAGTTACTGTCACATTACTTACAGCAAAGCTCAGAACTGCTCCTACCTTCTTTGCTGCACCCTGCATGGACATCGTAGACAGGGCTTGTGCCACCTGGATCCACACCCACACAAAGAGATTCACACCACAACCCTCCAATCCAGGCTCAATCAAGAACTGATTGGCCTCAAACCTAAAGAAACACAACAAAAATGCACAGGCTAAAGTTCAACAGTTCTCTGCAAAATGGATGTAGAAATCAACTGATTAAAAACAGTGCTTTGCCTAGCTGTCTATGAAACTGTGACACAAGGAAATACCAAATGAAAAAAGAAACATTTAAATTTTTGTGATCAGTGCAGGAAACAGAACAGAAACACAAACTGTAGTTATGAATAAAGCGGAAATCTGGGCAAAATTCCCCACTCTTTCAGAAACAATACTGACAAGAGCTCTCACTTTACTACAAAGCCTAGGTCATGATGCTGTGTAATCTTGTAGGTGACTATCAACATTCTGAAGGAACATATCCCCTTTTTCTACCCACAAGATGGAGGCAATAGGTTTCTCAGAAACACTGACAGGCATCTACAAGACTACATGGAGTCATAACCCTGAAGACCACAACCCGTATTTTCACATGTACATCAATGAAATGTGATTGATTCTTTAGTGGCAAAGACAATGAAAACACACACAGCTAAGTACTGAAAATATCAGAGAATGCTGCAACCAATCTGTTAGACTGTACATGCTCCTGCAATAATCTATCTTTCCAACTTTAAAGACAGAAGCCTCAGCAACAACATGGCTGGAGTAAGGAAAACAATACTTCCTAGTCCATGCTAGGAAATTTCCATAATTCTGCAGCCTGAAGTAACATGCATGATAGCACCTAAGTACTCAATTCAGTAAGAGCGACAAACAAATATGACTACCTTTAAACACAAAAACCAGCAGAGCCAACTGAACTATCATTCATCGCATGCCTGGCAACAGGCAATGATCATTTCCCATACTACTTCTCATTCTCAACCTGCTTCCAACTGTGGCATCCTATTAATTATTAAGCTCTGATTATCTTGAAACCTGAACCTTAACTGCAAAACATTAACCCTTTTCACTGCCAGTCACATTTTCTACTCATGTGCCAAGACTCAGACATAGGTCATAAAAGTATCCATTGCAACACTGCATCACATTAAAATAAAATGTCTTCACCACCCAATTACCCCACATGAAACCTAACAGAAAAGTGTATTCACCACCTCATGATTTTTCCTTCACAAGCATTATGCTTACACTTGCACTTCTTAACAGATTAAGCACTCTGAATGAGAAAACTGCCATTTTATTTCAGTCTGAAATATTGTTCAACCTGCTGCAAATGTCAGAACTCTTTCTGTCTCATCCAAGTCCCATGCACTGTTTTGGGCAGTTTTGTGACAAAAGATTCAAGACACAAATGTGACTGGTCAAAATATGAATTGCAAGCTCATGAATCTCTAATAACAAAGACATAATCACAATCCTGCCACAGTCCAAACTAAAGATACAGCAGAGGGCACAAGAAATAACTTCCAACTTCCCATTAACCATAATAGTGTTCAAAAGTGACTACACTCACATATCGGTAGTTTCATTTGCATATCCTCTGTTAACAATGTAATAAATTTTATTAGTTTTACATATTTATGTGGAGGAAGCCATGCTTCATAATAAGGGTAACTGAAATCAAAACCACCTAATTTGTCTGGGAAAGCCTGCAGAAAGCTGCCTGAAGCACTGAGGCAGTAAATCTTTCATTTTTGCACTTTGTCACATACCAACATATTATCTTCTTTGAGATGAATATTGCTAACACAAAGTTCTACATATGTACCGAATTATTTATATTCAAAAGTGACATGAAAATAATACTAGGCACTAAAGTGCCAATCACCATATTGAAGTAAACAAATATAAGTGGCATTCTAATAAAACTGTTTATTTTACCTCCCACACACCTTAAAATGGTAATGACACTTTATATAACCTTTGTAGAGCACTCAAACATTCTTCTGCATGTATGCAATGCTTTAAGCTACTATCAAACACATTAATGAATCTGACTTCAAATAATGATCAAACTTCAAGTACTGATACCTAATATCTGGGAACAAAAGGGCAATACACTTTCTCCAACAATGTACTTGTAACTTCTTACTGCTGACATGTACTACAGAGTATATCAATGACCTTTACTGCTACAGCTTCAGCCCTATATTTTAAAGCCATAATTTGATTTACAACATTACTGTGAAACACTTTAAGCACTATATGATACTTCGTGAATTCAACAATCCATATCACTGCTCTGACCACACTGAGAACAAAGAAGCTACTGTATCAAGCCACCGAAGAACTTATCTGATATAAGCAAACTGTAAAAATTGTAAAGCACTAATGGACAGTAACCAAGAACATGACATTAATCTGTTAATACAATTAAAAATACAACTGAAATTATCAGACATTCTGGAATATTATACGTTCTTCTGCATGGCTGTAAGGGCTTAGAGCCACCTTCAAATTTTCAACTTAAAAACAAACAACACTACATTGGCAGGCTTAAGCTTTTCATTATAATGAACGGCTTTAAGGCAAATATTCCTGTATGCTAGAACAATTAAATTCCAACAAAATGAAACGGAACACAGTTCTGTTATTTCCAGCATCTACGAAGGTACAAAGGCTCCACAAAAACAATTTTCAAAAATAATAAAACATTGTGATTTTGTCGTCATACTGTGTTGCATATGCCAGCATATCAAGAATATTATAATACACTAGTTTATCGCAATACAGTCCAAGTCGCACTGAACTTATTTTCAAATGTAGGGTAAGGTGCTATAATTTAAGCAAATATAAGCCGCACTCAATATCACTACACGGAGTTTGAAAAATACCCTACTTACTTCTACTCTCGATATTATGGAAAATATGCCTGTGTTACTTTTATTTCAAAAGGTATCTAGGTAATGGGCATATTTACGTGTGAGAAAACGTTGATAGGCCTACATTCTTCTATTCCCCTCCACCAAGAACTGGGTTCACTGCGAGATATTTGAATTAAAACAAAACTCTTAAGCCTTTCCATAATGAAATTCTCTCCTGAAGATTATGCGGCATACCCCTAATTAAATTTTATACTTATAAAATATTAATTACCCTTAATCAATGAGATTCATACACACAGGTTCCTTTCTTCTTCATTATTGAATGTCAGCCATATTAGGCATAAAAAACTGAGTGCAAGAGCGCGACGCGCGGCAAAACGAACTTTTAATTTCCTATGCTAATATGGTAATTACGGTTCATCTATCATCACAAATACAGCCTATTATATTACTAAAAGGTTTATTGAAGTTCCTCATACGTGAAGAGTCCTAAGTTTTTCCAGACAAATACATACAACGAAGATAAATGGGGAGTAAATTCAAAACTTGCAGTGCACCATCTTGAAGGAGACGTATCACTATATAAATCAATTGATGAATAATTCATATTTAATCAAAATGTTATGTCTAAAGTGCATGTTATAGTAAAATAAAATTGTAAGTATAAAATCTTGATAGAAGTTCTATCAATTTTGTTGCTTCTATTATAACCACAGTTAATTTGCATCGTCTTCAGTAGTGAGAGTAGAGTTACTTCCGGTACATTCCCTATGAAAAGTATAATTTCGGCAATATCTATATGGCTGATTTCAAAACTGGAATGAACAATTACGAATCCCAAACGGTCAATTCTGTATTAAATATTTCCAAACCTCCTATTGTGTGATTGTGTTCCATTACCTAAAACGGTCTGAACTGCAAAACTGGATAGTCGCCTATATCTATTTAAGATTCTATATAGTTGTTGCAATGAAATAAAAGGACTCAATAAATGAGTGAAAATATTTCATTACTTATTTATTAACACAATGTAATGATTATATATAATTGTTTCGTTTTGTTCAATATCATAACACTTAAAAACTGTGCAAAATTCAACAGAAATGCACACCTTTTAGGATACTGCAGAAACAAGTTCAGCTCATTTACCAGTAGGTGCATGTGCACATACACACATATATGTAACAATAAATGCATTCCACTCAAAATTCCAAAGATCCATGAATATATTCTTGAGTATGTCATACTTGCTGGTGCACTGTTTTGGACTAAACATTGCAGGTGATCACAGTTATTTTTGAGGTGGTTTAAGAATCACTAAATGTTTATTCATTCAAAATGCAGTGTCTGTTCTCACTCAAGGATGAAGGGGATGCAATATAACTGAAGAAGGTGGACAAATGGTAGTTGTAACAAAGTGCTTGTTTATAAATTGTGACTTCCACAATCAGTATATAAAGTGATATATAAAAAAATATATTGAACAAGCCAAATGGTTTTAATTTTCAAGGGCTGTTGCTGGTCTTTAATGCATAAATTTAGGGTTGAAATAATCCATGAACTGGAATAACAGGAAACATTATTATATAGTGATGACCCCAATAAATATTAAGATGTGGCTACTTTTAAAACATCTTTTTCTTAACTGCTGTGTATCTCTCCATGTACTTATCATACCCCTCAGCTTCAGCCAAACTTTTCATGTCAAACAGATTTCCATCAAGGGCCAGAACAGATATTTTAGAATCTGTCAATATTCTTGGGCAAATAGAAGCCAGCTGAAGACAGTTTTCTTCTAACCTCAAAGTTTTCAATCGAGGACAGTTAGCAATATCTTCAGACAATACTGACACTTCATTCTGATTAAGATTCAATTCTGTCACATGTATATCAGACACACCTGTAGGAACATCAGTTATCTTATTTTTCGATAAATCCAGCACATCCAAATGTCTGAGACCACACAACATTAGTGGAAACTTTGTAATTTGATTGTCACTTAAGTAAACTTGCTTTAAGTTTGACAGGTTTGACAATGTGTGTGGCAGAACTGTCAGCTTGTTTGTACACACAGATAGACTCTCTAGTTTACTGAGATCTCCAACTGATTCAGGTAATGATGTCAACCTGTTATGATTAACATTTAAATGTTTGAGCAACTTAAAAGACCCTATTTCATCTGGAAATGTTGTGAACTTGTTCTCTGACAAGTCGAGAGTTCTGAGGAGTGGCTCTAGTTGCTTCAGATCTGTTGGAAATTCAGTTAGCTTCTTCTGTGATATTTTAAGTACGCCTGTCTTCTTAGCAGTTTCATAGTGTTGCTTAAGAACTGAATTTCCCATAACTGTAAAGTGACAACAATGAAATCTGAATTACAACTCATCATATTCCATATTAAGAGTATATCAATATATTTCTACTAGAAATAATTTACTATGTATTTAAATTACTACATATCTTTACACAAGAAATTCATATGACAATACATACTATTTCATTAAATCAAATATTGGTCTTATTAACCAAAAACTGCTGATGTCCAACTCCTGTCACCAACAGCTGTGGCTATCGTGGTGGAAAAAAGCAAGGTGTAGTCAAATGGAGGACGAAACTTAAACTGAACTGTACGTGACATCATCCCCGACATTAGCGCGCATTTTAAAATTTAGGCCAAATTTGAAAAGTCATATTATCGCAGAGGGTCTAAAAGACCCATTCCTATTATTAAAGAAGTAAGGGTTAAGAATTCTATGCATGTTCTCAAAAGTATTAATATATTGCATGAGCGCTATTCAAATACAGAATACACGTGCGTACTAAAACAGTACAGTAAAAGTAATGTCTTGGAACCAGTGATAAAATATAATTTATTTATATTCCATAGACCCTTCATAGGCACAAGCCATCTTCAGACTCACCGCCGTGAAAACCTCAAATCCTACTTCTTTTTTATATTGTTTTCAGATGAAGGTTATCTCTTTATCTTGTACTTATATTGCGGATATCTAAGTTTGTTTTAAAATTTTCTATGTTGTCCGTTACAAATGATAATAAACAGATCAAGAATTCGCTGGCTAATGGAAAAATATTACATTTATTTAATAATTCTCTACACGAGGATCTCCTTTTAGAGCCTGCCATTATTCTGATGATTTTCTACTGGATGCCTGTCTGCATGTAATAACTCGAGCACCC